CAGCACCACCCCCACCACCATCAACACTGCCGCTACAAAGGGTGCGAGCATGTTCCATCTTCTCACAACTCCCGCAGACTCGACGCTTGGTCGCGCGCAATTTCCACACGCTGAAGCCCCTCCCCGCTGCATTGAGACCCCCTCTCGCACAGACTTGAAGCAGCCACGCTCGTGAGCATAGAGCTCGTGTCGCGAGCTCGTGCATTCCCTGCGTGCTTGCGGGTGTATGAGTAGATTCTGGTGAACGAGTCGTCGCCCTAGGCAGGCGGTGCTGGTCGAAGCGAGTTGTAATGCTGTTTTGTCCATGCCAGTCGAGTGTCAGCGCAACTTTCCATACGTGTCGAATCGCCGGAATGCAAACTTACCTCGCCCAGGCCGTACATCCTGCGGTGATATCTGTAAATGCACGGCGCGAAACGAAAGCGTCAGTACGAGTCTGCTGTGCCTGTGGTGATGCAGAGACATGTCGACGTACGAAATGGTGAGCGGTTCGCCGTCGTATTCGCCCTCTCCGACCTTGAGCACGGGCACGCCGGCCTGGATGACGTGGATCTGCGTTCCAAATGCGCGGGAGAGCGCCAGGATCTCGGGCTGGCCTCCCCAAACGCCTGTATTCTCCACCGCCGAGCAGTAGTCCAAGAAGTACTCTGCCAAGCGCAAAGCAAATGTCAGCCGACGTGAAAGATGTGCTGCACGGTGATGGAGGCGACCTACTCTCTTGCGCCTGCTCGGAGTTGAGCGTTCCGGCTTCGCGGTTGATGATGCCTGCCATGTGTTCGTCCGAGTCCGAGATGAAGGGTTTGTATTCGTCCGGGTGGGTGCGCATCTGTTGAGCGGTGGCGCGGCGCGCGGCCTTGTAGTCGATGGGAGCATCGAGCTTCTTGCGAAGGTTGAGCTGGTCCGCGACAGCAGCGTAGAGGCAATGACCGTCGGGCGTGATTTCGTGCATGGCAAGACCGAGTGCCGAGCACATGGCAGTGATACCCTGGCGTTCGATCTGTGCTTCGTCGGGCTTGTTGGCGCCGAGCTTGACTTCTTCCTCGGCCTGACGACGCACTTCTGCAATCTCGGCGGCTTTACGATCCTGTTGGCCGCGATGCAGATGTGTAAAGAGTTAGTGAGGAGTTGTGGGAAGCGAGGAGATGGAGGCGGACCTACCTTGCGCTGCTGCTGGCGGCTGATTTTCTTCTTGGGTGCGGCGGCGGCGTCTAATGGGGCCGAGGACTCGGGGCTCTTGGGACTGCTTCCGAACAGCTTGCGGATGCTCGACTTGCGATTGTGAGTGGGGCTGGTGCCCGTTTGCGCGGTGGCATCGGCGTCATGGTTGTGGTGCCGCAAGCCGCTGATCAGACGTCCGCCCGCTTCTCTCAAGCCGCCGCCCGAGTGGTTGTTGGGAGAGGGTTTTTCTGCAGCCTCGGCGGCGGCGTCACGCTCGTCTAATGCTGCGAGCAGCTCGTCTGCAATGTCGAAAGCGCCATCGTCGTTGTCGTCGGCGAACGGATCGATGACGCCGTCGATGGGTGCATTGCGTCCGGCCTCGATATCCCTACGCAGCGAGTCGTTGTTGTGATGCTGCAGAGCGGGGCGATTTCCCTTCTTTCCCTTTTTGGGCATGGCGATCCGGGAGTCGTGACGGTGGCGATGGATCACTGTGATATGATGGAGGCAGTCGGTGCGGCGGCCAAGATAGGCTGGCTGAGGCGTGTGAAATCAAGCCCAACCACCCTTCGGCTCCACCGACCGAGATCCGAAACGAACACCAAAAAAATAAGAGCGCACCGCACGGCTCTTCCGACTGAACCCTGGCATACGAGCAGCGAGCAGCGAGCACCAAAAGCATCTTTTCCGTGACGGCATTTTTTGGACGCCTTTTTTTCCCACCTTTTCCTTCGGAGCTCCCGACGCTGAGTGATTTCATCTTGTGATTTTGTGGAGGTGAAAGGCGGCTGTGATGTGGCTCGGACCAACCGCAGTTCTCATTTGGCGGCATTGAGCCGAATCCTCTCTTGCTCACCGTCTGCCACCACCACCACCATCATCGCCGCTGCTCACCATCCTCTCGCCGAGATGGCCAAGGGCACAAGCGCCATCGATCCGAGCAACTATGCTTCGCTCGGTCTCACCCACGTCCAGTGTAGGTCGTCTCCATCCTCCCACTCTCTGCATGTCGCGCGACACTGACTGACCGCCTGCCATTCCTCCTTCCAAGACGATGCATCGGACCCTCTCGCAAAGATCCTCGCCCTCGTCACGCTCTCGCCCATCTTTCTCCTCTGCTCCTACGTCACCATCATCCTGCTGCGTCGCGAGCTTACATTCATCAACGCGCTCATCGGACAGCTCGCATGCGAAGGTTTCAACTGGGCGCTCAAGCGTCTCTTCAAACAGCCCCGGCCAACCAACCACCTCGGAGGAGGATACGGCATGCCCTCCTCCCACTCCCAATTCCTCGGATTCTTTGCCGCATTCTTTCTCGCCCACTTTTACCTCAATCGTCCGCCCAGCCTCAGGCCGCGCACCCTCATCAACTCGATGCGCAGATTCGAACACCATTTGGCCATGCTCCTCATCGCTGCCATCTCCATCCTGACCTGCTACTCGAGGCATCATCTACACTACCACACTCCGCTGCAAATCATCGTCGGACTCTCCATCGGCCTCGCTTTTGGCGCAACGTACTACTACTTTACCGAACATCTGCCTAGAAAGCCACTCCGCCTGCCGGCGCCTCTTGCAGTTTCCCAGTCCTCGTCCCCGCTCGCCATCCGCGCGAATCGACTCCTGCAGCCCATCTCGACTTCGCGTGCCAACGCTACCACCAACACAACCGCTCGCAATCGCAAACCGCGCAGGCGCTCCTCGACGCTCAGCGACATCCTCTTGCCCGAACTTCATCCTTCGCCCCCCATTCGCCAGATCCTGCTCGACCACCCCATTGCCATCGCTTTCCGCATCAGGGACAGCTGGGCCGTGTGGACCGACGGCGGCATCGAGGGAGAATACGGCGCGTGGAGACGCGAGTGGGAAGCGCGAAGAGCGTCCGTCCCTACCTCCTCCTCCTCCTCTTCAGCCGCCCATCGCGACCGAACCGACGTCGGCAGATTGCAGCGACACTACGTCCTCATGAAGCTAGCTCTGGACGAGGCAGACAAGTCCCCTCCCACCGACACTGCCTTTTGCGTAGGCTGCGTCCTTTCCGTCACGAGCGATGACTCGGCTCCCGCATCCTCGCATGTTCTCGCCACCGGATTCTCCAGAGAGCTCCCCGGAAACACCCACGCCGAACAGTGTGCGCTCGACAAGCTGGTCGCCGACTTTGCGTCCACACAGTCCTCCAAGGGCTCAACGCGAATCCCCACGCTGGATCTCGACCTGTACACCACCATGGAGCCCTGCTCGGAGCGCCTGTCAGGCAATCTTCCGTGCGTGCAGCGCATCATCGAGTTCAACAACAAGCGCACGGCTTTCACCCTTCCTAGCGACATGCTTCCGCCTTCCCTGCAAGGCGAGATCTCGGGTGCAAAGGGCCAGGTGAGCCTCCGCATCCGCAGAGTCTTCCAGGGCGTCGCCGAGCCAGACGACTTTGTCCAGTGCCAGAGCCAGACCATCCTCCGCGACAACGACATCCAGGTCTTCACCGTCCGAAACCCACAGAACGACGGCGGTCAGCTAGAGAAGGACTGTCTGCGCATCGCCAGAAAGGGACATGCGCCCAGGAACTGAGCCACAGCCTGTTCAACGCTGATAACTTAGTGTACATTAGAATTGCTTGCAAAAGTATATATGCTGATGCGAACGAATAGAAGCAATGATGACCGTCGTGAATGGAAGCAGCAGACGCAGGCAGAAAGTATGATCGTAGCGAGGGATGGATTCAGTGCATGGGAGCGGCGCCTTCCTTGCTGAGCGCCACCCAGGCTCCGCTGGCGAGGATGACCAGACTGCCTGCGATCGAGACCCAATCGGGCACCGAGCCAAACAGCATCAACTGCCATGCGAGCGCAAAGATGATTTGGAGGTACGACATTGTAGCCGCCCTACCAGCCGACTCCCTCTGCAGGCCGAGCGTCTGAAACACCTGCGCCAACAGACTGAACAGTCCCACTCCGAGCAGCAGCACCAACGACACCTTGGACGTAGGAATCACAAACGGTTCGTTGAGCGCGCGCATGGCGGCGAAGCTGGAAACCCAGCTGCACAGCGCAAAGTACGAGATGGAATGGTACGTCGAGGCTTTCTTACCGATCCGACGAAGACACACCCATGCCCCAGCCATAAAGACCACTCCGCTGAGGGCGACCAGGATGCCGACGAACCGAGCTGCTTCGGATGTCGAGCCGGGAGCAGGAAGGTCGATATCGCCGTCCTCTGGTGCGCCTTGTCCGGCAGTGTTGCCAAACAGGAACGACGGTCGCGCGATCAGTGTGACTCCTGCGAGTGAGAAGATGCCCGCGACTCGTTCGCGCAGGGTGAATGGCTCTTGCAGCAGGATGTGTGCCAGAAAGCCAGTAGCCAATGGCGATAGGAAGGTGATCACGGTAGCATCGGAAAGCGAGAGTGCGTGCAGCGAGATGTAGAGAGCCAGAGTTGAGGCGAAGCCAAACATGCCGCGGAAGAGCAGCAACATTCGAGCTCCCGGCGGACCCAGCAGCGGATACTCGGTCTTGGCCAGAAGCATGGCGAGCATCGAGCCGATCCAGATGATGAAACACTCGACGCCGACGATCTCGAGTGCTCCGATGGGGTGCGTCTCTTGCTGGCCTTCGCGGTCGTCGAGCAGCTTGACAAACATGTTCATGGTCGAGTAGGATACCTGACTCACTGCGATCAGCAGCAGACCGAGATTGGAGCCGGGAGACGTCGAAGGATCTACCAAGGCATGGCGCAGAGAGATGGCGCTCGCATCTGCGATCTCGGAGAGTGTCTTGGACCACGCTGATCCCTCGTGCAGCACGTCCTCCTCGGGGATCTGGCCCGGCCGGCGATGCGATAGCCACGAAGGTCGACGGCTTGACAGCGCCGATGGTCGCCGATGCGAAAAGGCGGAGGCCGATTGTCTGCGGCTGCTTACTGATGGCGGCAGGATGGGCATGCTCTCTTCGTCAAACGACTCGATGTCGCTGCGCCTCTCGAGATCGTCGAGCCGTTGCTGGGCGACAATGTACTCGTTGGGATGAAAGATGGAGGCAAAGTCGCTCAGGATGCTCGACTCTGCATCGCCGTTCCACGAGCCATCCTGATCGTCGGTCCACGTATGCTGACTGCCACCTTCTTCATGGTCACCGTCTAGGGGCGGCTCGTCGTTGGTGCTGGCAATGGAGCCATTCTGCAAACGTGTTCGTTCCAGATAAGATGTGCCGGGTAACACCGAGCCGTACGAGGCCGGGTCGAAGCCGGCTGGTGCTTGCACGCGGCCTGGTGGCGCAGCCGACATGATCCTCCTTTCGCTGTACAGATGGGGATTCAAACAGGTGGAAGCGGGAGGGAAAGGATGGGAAGAGTGCAAAGCTGAGGACCAGTCTCGTGATCCCGCCTCCTCGAGAGAGAAAAAAAGGCGCTGCGGAGACAAACAGCATCCGAAGCGCGCGCTCGAAATTTCTTCCGGCTTCGGCAACGGCGGCCAAAGTCGCATGAACCGGATCTTGCAGCATTCCCCGCCAGCCTCCACACTCTGTCTGCCGATAAGCACAAAATCATGAAACCCAAGGCAAATTCGAGTTCATTCCGCCTCCAACACGTTTCGCCCCCGTCGCAAGCCATACCCCGTGGCTCATGGCTGACACGCTGAGTCAAGCGGTTGGCTTGATCTCTCAAACCAAGTTCATGCATGCACGATTGTCGCGGAGGTGTCTGCCGAAGGCTAGATTAGCATCTCACATTCGACGCTGTAAAACGTTCTCTCAGGTCTCGGCCATGATGAAGTGTAAACAAGTCATTTACGTAGCAAGAGCACCGTGGCAATGACAAAAAGCAGCCCGATGGACCAGAACGACCGTGACTGCTACCAATTCACTCTGGCATACTTTTTAAATCATGGATGCAGCCCCTGAAAACGCGCGAAACCAGTCATGCGTCAGCCAGGAAGCAGCAGCCAATCAAACATGAATCGCGCCTTACTGGCTGCTCGCAGGGCGCTCGTCGCCAGTCATGACTAGAGTGGTTCTGGGATCGGCTGAGCGATATGCCTTTTTCCAAGTCAACACTTTTCGCCAACTGCAAGGCATCAAGCGTGCAAGTCTTCTTTGTCGCCTGAGTCTCTGTGATGTTCAGCTTGACGCTGGACGACCATATCATGATCAAATCCTCTCGTGTCTCAGTCGCGGATTTGGCTGCCGAGATACTCACGAGATTGTCAACCACTCGAGTCTGAGCCGTCTCCTAGCATTCCGACCTGGCACAATCAAAATCACAACTTTAACAGGAATCATAGTCCCAGATGAGTCAATCACTGCCGTTCATGATTAGCTTGCAAACGAGACGTCGAACAGCACCAAAGTGCTGTCCGCGTGCTGGACTTATCAATGTTGCAAAGTCCTTGCTTGATTCCGCATATTCTAAGGTGTAATCATGAACGTGCGCAATTGTCTTTTCGCGCGCTGCAACGCGGTACAAACAGGACTTGGATTTGCAGAGCAGTCTCAAGTACGACTACTTCAGAATTTGAATTTGCATGAAGCGCAGCGATGCTCGTGGAAGATGGTGTGAGAAGAACAATTCATAAAACATAGATCATGAGCCCAGAATTAAATGATGAAGCATGAAACAAATACGAGTCGACTGGCGCGCAAGACAGGCACCGCTGAAATCGTAATTTGGCTACGAGAAGATCATCCTATATGATATGCTTGAAAACATACGAGGATGGATACATAGAACAAGGCTTAACCGCCAGGGTGCCAATTCTCTGCGGAAGATTGTGTGGATGAGCCAACCCTTCTTTGCAGAGATTCGAGACTGTGCTGGTGGCCACTTCTGCCAATCTTTCGTCGTGCTATCCCTCTATCTCTAAGCTGCTTGCGCTCTCTGTCATCCTAGCCAGCCCGATGTGGACTGTTCATGAAGTTATTTTCTCTATTCAATAGTTCTACTCTTGAATCGTGATTTACGTAATGACTCGCCTCGCACAGCAGTGGCAACTTTGTGACTATTGAGTCGATAGTGATTTTGCATGACTCTTGCGAGCGTGAGTTTTCCAGATTTTGTACTTCCTGGATTATGACAATCTTTTCTTCACTGCACGCTTGTTGCTTTCAGAATAAGCGTTGCACGCATCGCGAGGGATCCATGACACAGACAGCCTTAGCTGTCATCCGCACATGCCGCTAAGTGAGCTATTCTGGCTTCCGATTACATCTTCACAACGCACATGAATCAATCCCACCTCGCCAAGTTCTGCCCATCGACCTCTTATTGTAATACAGTCTTCTCAAAGAAGAGAAAAAGCAAAGTGGGAGTTATATAAGTTAAGTAAGCTCATGCGAAGTTGAGGGAGTGTCTAATAAAGTGAGCTACCGAAGTCGTCCATGCTTAGCTGCATTGCGAGAGATGAAAACAACGCCGAGGGATATGGCGACTACAGACACAGGAAGACTAAGCAAATGCTTCAGCAAGCTTCACAGCAAGTGTCTCGCTAATCTTGGTGAAGGTGAGGCCCTGAGCGGGCCAGTAGTCAAATTGGCGGTGCTTGAGGTAGCGGCAGATCTCCTTGAGCTTATCGAAGTCAGCGTGATCATATGCATGGACAAGGAGGTTGATGGCTTTTACGTAGAAGTCCTCAAGGATTTGGGCGTCCGAAACAATCTTGGTATAGGTCATGTCATTGTGACGCCTTTGATAAAAGGATAAGGAAAAAGAATGTCAGCAATTGCGTACCTCGCCTAGGTCTGGAAGGCACAAACTTACAGGAGGTACTCTTTGTCTGCAGCCACTTCCTCGTCCGTGCGAGTATCATTGATACTGAAGGTGACGAGGCTGATAGGGAGGTTGACGTTGCTACCAATGTAGACAATGTCCTTATCTTCGGGTTCTTCGAACGGAAAGTTCTGGTCGATGAGGTACTGGAAAGGGAGTGCGGGCAAACTGAAGCATTTTGGCTTCTTATGATTTTTGCCTTGCGCATCTTATTCCAACAAGCCTCAGCTTTCAACACTGATGTTCGGACACCTTTTGTCGTACTGTAGTTGGGAATTTTAAGCGATTTCCTGTGATTTACGTCCATTAAATTTACGGTTTCGCTCGACGAATTAAGGAAGTTGTTTGAACGCATAGCCTAAGATGCATTAATTCAGTACTGTGATTTATTTCGAAACCTCTGTTCGTCGCAACAATATCCTGCTTTCTCCTTCTGACGGCACACATCTGACACGGCGCCGTTGTCTTGATCGTACCGTGAGGTCGCTTCATGCTTGTCAAGGCGCGAATTCATGGTCGTCAGAACGGTCATTAGCGATCCTGTGAATTACTCGACTGGCGGGAAAATCGAAGGGACAGAAAGCATGGGGACAGCTGACAGGACAGTGGGATCATGAATGCGGCGGGCCTTAAGCGGAAGCTGTGGGTGGCACGCCCGTCGGTTCGGGCCGGGTCGAGGTGTGCGAGAGTGGACGATGCTGAGAGGCCGGATACTGATTATCAGCTGGTGCAAGGCCGCTTTCGGCGCCAGGCTGTGTGGGTCCTTCGAAAGCCTTTGCTTGCTCGGGCTGGCGCGTCTCGGGTGCATGGTCGCGGTCGCGTTCTTCGATCCTTGACTCGGTGATCTTGCCTGATCGAAGTCGCAGTGCACCGTAGTCGCAGTCACGCAGCATCCCAAGCAGGAGGAACACAAACAACGGCTTCGAAACAATGTCCAAAAGGCCATAGAAGATGAACTGTGCGCCAGGAAGGTTGACAAAGAATCACCTTGTCAGATGTTGCTCACATTGACGATACAAGTGATGCCTTGTCGTGTTGAAATGAAGCTCGTCTTACCTCTTCGCTGACGCCGATGACGTTTCCGCCTTCGCTGAGACCCCAGCAAATCGCATACATGGGCCAGATCACAGCAAGCAGAGATGCGCCCGTCAGGTACGCCCTTCCAAAGCCCTCCGAGCCGTCTAGCCGAGCGTAGACCCGATGCAAAGATGTGATACAAAACGTAGCCGAGTGCAGCGCATGCAAACACCTAGCAGACGTTGCAGACGAGACTAGAGTTAGCGCGATGATCTTTGGCACCGCTATGATGTTGGGCATGGCACTTACAAAGTAGGCCCACTTGTATCGCGTCGGAGTCAGCGCACCTAGGAGGCCGCAGACAATCATCAAGACGTTGAAGAAGAGCGTGATAAAAATGACCGAAAGCGGAAGTGCGGTGATGAGCAGCAGGCTGAGTAGGAGAAGCGACGTGGTGAGTGTCCAGTCGATGTAGCGTGCGAACCAGATCTGGCGCGTCGGATAGCGCGAGCCGGGACCAAGCGGGCTATTGTGGCGGAACTGAACTGTGACAGGAGTTGCACCGAGATCGCTGGCCATCGAGTACCACGCCACAGACGAGATGGCGAGCACGGGTATGAACAGGTAGTGGAACGTTCGGCGGTTTCGAGCGAGTTTGGTGGACCAGATGAGGAGACCGATGAGCGACGCCGCCATGACACAGAAGACAACATAGCCCCAATCACTACCCCACCGGCCAAGATGGATGTTGGCGTTGGGTGGGTTCGTCCTGAGCGCGCGGTTGCCCGCACGCTTTTGCAGAGAACTCGGCATGGCGTCGCAGGGTTTCAGAGACTGAGAAGTCCGTTCCGCAAGACTACAAGGTGATTTCGATGGCGGCGAGCGGCGTGAACGAACACGTCTCCGATACGATCTGGGTGAGCTCAAGTCGAGGAAAAGAGGCTGCCTGGTGGGCTAAGGCGACAGGGGATGGACGAGGTCTTGCAGGGACCGCTGAGCTTATATACAGCGGCGGCCGGCTAGAGAAAGCTGCTTTCGGCGGTGCCTCGGGGGCCATGCGTGGAGGCAGGAAGGCTGAAACGACAGTCAGGCCGCACATGCAGCGTGCGGAAGCAACGCTTCTGCTGTCTCGGAGCATTTGTATCATGAATCAGCGCAGGGCAATAAGGCTGCGCAACTCGACCGGGCCGGTCATGAGCATGGCATGACGCCGGAGCCGGCCACAAGACGTGTGAACGTATGCGCCACCAAGGATTGGCTAATTCGCCTCGAGCCTGCCCAGCCGCGACTCGGGCGAGGCTGACTATCGCTCCACAAGTCCAGCGCGGCTGCTGAGTGATACAAGCTCCCACACGCTTGCATCGCGATGACTAGCTTCGAATCTCTCGGGACAGCGACCACAGGGCTGACAAGGAATGGACAATGACGTTGCTTGCAATGCAGAGGTGACGACGGCTGTGGAACAACATGATGCGAAGACAGGACAGGGAAGTGGCGGGTGAAGATGCATACGGAGAGAGGGCGAGGCGAGTCAGCGGTCAGGGACATTCAAACCGCTGCTCCGGCGGCTGGATCGACGCCACAGAGCCTGTGCAGAGAATCTATGGCCAAGTCTGCCGCATTGATGCGACGCGCCGAGCGGGACGCTAGGATCGCGATCGGAGACGCAGCTCGACCGCTTCGATGGCGTCCTTGAGCTCTTTGGGGCCGGGTTTGGTGGCGACGGCGTCGGGTTCGATTGCGAGATTCTCGACCATCCATGCGCGTGTGGTGCTTCCAAGGACGGCGATACGCGGATACTTGCGAGAGGCCGAATGAGAGGTGACGGTGGTCTTTGCGCCAATGGCCTCCGTATTGGCGGTGTTGGATGTGACAGCAGCTGACGTGTTGGCAGAGGATGCGGTTGTGGCTCGCTCTGGCGGCATCCATTTTCGGCGACGAAACTCTTCGAGGGCGTAGTTGACTCCGCTGGGCGAGAAGAAGACGATCCAGTCTGGTCTGGCGATGGTCTGTCGATTGTGGGCGGTGCTGCTGTCGGTACCGCCTGAACTTTCGGGGCCGGCTGCCTTGGCCTTGGCTCTGAGCATTTTGAGCACGGATTCCTCCTCGATGGGATTGATGGCTTCGGGCTCGATGGTGGCGGGGGAGGCCGTGAGCTGTGGCGAGCCTCCAACGGCGGCGGTGATGCTCTTGGTATCGATGCGAGGATGGACGACCTCGGTGGAGGTCATGGTGCTGACGCCCAGAGGCGTGCCTACCGAAGGCACGTGGCTGAGACTGTGTTGCGACGCGGTGCGACTGGACTCACGCAGATCGTCGGAGCTGGATTTGCGGCTTGCGTTGGCGCTCTTTAGGGCACCGGACGGGTGACGATCGACCGAGGTGGTGCTTCCGCCACTGGGACGTCTGCTGCCGGGGCGCGAGTGCATGCTGCCGTTGCTCGGCCGACGGCTTGGTGGACGGGAAACGACAGAGGGGAGCGTATTTGTGAGCACCTCGCAGCCTTCAGCAAAGTGAGGATCGGGCGAGGTCTCGTAGACTTGGAGCTCTTCGTGGGGGATTGGGCCGAGAGGAGGCGAAGCTTGTGAGAGCATAACCGGGATGGTGGATGCGTTCTTGTCGCCGACCAAATAAAGCAGGGGAAGAGCTTGGGATGATGTCGCCGTGTCGGACTTTTCGTCGAGGATGGCGGGGGTGGAGAAGTGACGGATGACGTAGCGGGCGAGTGCGTCTCCAGTGCCGGTGGCCTCGCCGCCCATGACCAGACGTGGACGGAGCCAAGGAGAGAGAGGCACGGAGCGGAGGGCGGAAGCGGTGGCGGGTCCGACGGCAAAGAAGGGGACGCGATTCCACTGGGTGGGCGAGCTGGAGGAGGTCTTGTTGTTGGAGCGGAGCATGTCCTGCGCCTTGACGCCTGCCGAGATGTAGGCTTCGACGGCGCGCTGGCTGGTGACGATCATGCCGCGATACGGCGTGGCTGATTTGGAGCCGTCGGAGCGAGAGCCGTGCAAGAGACGATCGACAAATTCCTGCTGGTGTACGAAGCGATGGGAGAGGATGGGGAAGGAGGTGACGCAGTACTCGATCTCGACCTCGTCGCCGCTGGCGTCCGAGGGGTAGGAGAGATGATGGGTCATGAGGCGGGGCTGGTCGTGGATGAACTTGCCCTTGCGTCTGCCCGTCGCCGACAGCGGTAGTGGTCCGGCCGAGGGCGCGTGGCTGGCCGATGTTTTGTTGTTGTTGTTGTTGTTGTTGTTGTTGTTGTTGTTGTTGTTG